ATAGTGACACAGATTAAAGAATCCATAGGGATTTAAAACAAATAACTATTTTTATAGTGACACAGATTAAAGAATCCATAGGGATTTAAAACAAAACATATGAATAATATTATTCATAACATTCAAGACTGATTATATCACAATAATCAGCAATTTTATCAACAAAGAATAACAGAAAAATTCTTTTTTGTTAAATTTTTTTTAGGGCCAAAAAATCATTTTTTAAAGCATAGAAAAATGAAAAATTTGGTTTTGGCAGAATCAACATATAGATAAAAAGGGAGAATTTAAAAGCCAAAACTGGGAACATTATCTTCATATATATAAAAACTATATTATTATCACGATATCTTGTTTGAGTACTTTTATTGGTCTTATCTCAAGTATATATTTCTGTAAGAAAAAACTAGACTCCAGAAATTCGACAAATACAGTAAGGATAAAACGGACAGCTAGCATTCAACATGACCCCGACAAACTAAAGTATATATATGTGTATATATAACTATGAAATAAATGTGCTTATAAACCAATATTCATTGAAATTGATTTTAAGCATTAATATAATTGTTTGATAATATTAATTGTATAATAACAAAACTAAAAGTATGTCTAGTGATTGCTATTCTTCTCTTTACAATCAATATTCATTGAAATTGATTTAGAAGATATGAGTAATTTAATTTAATACTTATAAAATCAACAATACTAAAAAGTATTTACAAATATTTTGAAACAGCAGGTGTCTCTGTTGCTACGGATAGGAAGTTCTCTGATGAAATAAAGCCGGGTTCAGCTGGCTCTGATGCTAAAAACGAGGAACAAAAAGGTGTATCTGTTTCTGCGGTGCGGATATGAAGTTCTCTGATGAAATAAAGCCAAGCTCAGCTGGCTCTGATGCAACGAACGAGGAATAAGAATGTAATTTATGCAAAGAAAAAATAGAAAATAACATATTTTGCTTAAAATGTAAAATCTGCATACTATGCTGTATGTGTAAAGAAACAATAATAAATTAAGCTGCTGATAGTCATGCACTCATGCTTACTATCCTGCTTATATCTGAAATCAACAATGGAAGTTTTTGTAAATTTTTGTAATGTTAGCTATGCATGCCTGCGTGCTAACAGCTTTCTGAAAAATGCTGATGAACCAAACCTTGTCATTTTTTCATTGCCCCGCTCCCCTGCAATCCTGCTCCTTGGTCATAAACTTCAACACGAACCTGCAATACTTCAACGAGGGGATATTGCGAGAAGATATTTATTTCAAGATATATAAAAATATATGTAATTATGTAAAAATATAGGGTAGCTCGTGTAGACCAGTATATAGGCCTGAAATTATCAGCATAGTCTTGCACTGTGCAGATATTGAAGGTTATATTAAGGCCTGCTCGACTCTACTACTATACAGTATGATATGAACTTCTGTCGAATAAACAACTAAACAACTTAGATTGAAAAAGGTATTTTATTTATAAAATATAGCAAACAACATTTGCAAAGGTTTGAGGCATTAATTATTGGAGGATTTTAAAAAGGTGGATTAAAGAAATACATTGGTGAAAATAAAACTGGGAAATATAAAGACGACTTTTGGACTACATTTTTGGTTAACTAGTTCAATGAACATAAAATACCACAATTGAGCAGTGAACATGCAGATTGTCTAAATTTCGTGTTCAAATTCTGGAGTTTATGTAATACAAGTTCGATGAACAATTCTGATAAATTCAGGTTCGTCGGTGCCACTGCCAAGCAAAGTAACATGTATGATACCCAACTGCCAAGCCAACCAAGAATAGGAGAGTCTGCGTTTACAATGCCAGCAGATCAAAAAAGAAAAAAAGTTTGGACGAAGGCTCTTTAATTGGATCATAGGAATTCCTTAAGCAGAAAGATCCCGATTTTGTAAAAACTACAGTTTTGTAAAAATTAAATTGTTAAATAAATATTATGACGTTATATTTTTCAATAATTCATTTAAATCAGGTAGAGAGAAAATTCAATCTTGAATGAAAAAGTAATGAGATAATTGATTACTGTTAAAAAGTACAAGGTTACTAGCTTAAAAGATACGGTTTATTAATTTTCTTCTTATAAACACTTCAAATAATTCAAACCAAAAGTAAATGTTCTAAAGGACTGATAGATGTAATTTCAAGTTACCAACCCATAACAGGTCCTATTAACAACGGTACCATTTAAACATTTATCTGGTTAACAATGAGGAAGATATCGTCGTTATTTCAACTTAAAAAGTGATGAATTCTGTAAATTATTTTCATTGTCTTTCCACTAGTCACTTTTATGGACTATGGACAAATAAAATATTTCAAGATAGAAAAACTAAAGTTGTTTCCTTGTTTTGTTTTTAAATAACTATTTAATTCTTTACAATTACAAGAGACGACATTATGAAACGTCAGCTTGGTAAATATATTCAGAACTTCTGGAGAAGACGACATTTGTTACGATCTTTCTCTACCCCAGAAAATGCGTCAAATTTGCGTTGATTTTCTGATGCGCTATCTTTAATTAGCAAAATCTCCGATTTTACTAAACCTTGTATTATGCTAATACGCATTCGATATCCAAAAAAAGAACTTAAAAATTTAACAAATCAGCATGTCATATTAAGATTTACTCTTTAACTTTTGAAAGGCCGGTTTTGATTTCTGGGGTTGATGATGTCATATCAATTGAACTAAACATCGATTGAACGAACGTAAGTTTTAGATTAATGTTTATTAAGACTAACGTTCAAAATGACAATAGTCCTAACATGTTTTTAATAATTTCCTATTAACATGATTAAATTTATATTTGTTTAAATGCACTAAAAGACGGCTTGTGAACAGCTGGCTTTAACCCAATCGGATAAATTAGTCCGATCTATATAGCATTATATCTGTACTTGTTATCAAACGTAACTTTTATGCAGTAGAAATATCCAAAAAGAGGATTATAAGAAGAAAATCGAAAGTGTGTACATATTGGATAATCAGATTAAGCAATCGTGATTAATTGGATATCTCATTCTAAAGTTTTCAGCCCTGGTAGTATAATGCTCTACATCGGTTTTGTCATAAAGAGATTTGAAAAGCATCTTTGATGTTAATGGGTAGCTTGTTCCAGGTTTCGACTACACGGTTGCTGAAGAATTTGTTCCTTATTTCTAAGTTGGATCATTTTGGTTGGATATTAAAGTAAAATGGTGATTGTCGGGTTGTGATGGTTCTTGTTGGGTCAACCAACTGGAACCAGGTGTTAAACTAAACATTTTCTATGCCATGGATAATCTTTAAGTCTGAATGAGGTCGAAAAGTACTCTTCTATCAGATAAGGATTGGATACCTAGTTCAAGGAGCTTATCCTCATATGTGGTTCCTGACAATCCTTAGATCATATAAATTGCGCTTTTTTGGACTTCTTCAAGGCTTTAAAAGTCCCTTATACTCCAAGGGTTCCAAACAGGTGTAGTTACATTGAAAACATTCAATACATTCAATAAATTGGTTACATTAAATAATTGGATACATTGGATACATTGGATATATTGGATACATTGGATACATTGGATACATTGGATACATTAAATAATTGGATACATTGGATATATTGGATATATTGGATACATTGGTTACATTGGATACATTGGATACATTGGTTACATTAAATAATTGGATACATTGGATACATTGGATATATTGGATACATTGGATACATTGGATATATTGGATACATTGGATTCATTGGATACATAGGATACATTGGATACATTGGATACATTGGATACATTGGATACATTGGATACATTGGATACATTGGATACNACTGGATACATTGGATACAAGCCCCTTTGTCTAATTCTTGGTTAAAAATGGAAAATTTCTGATTATATTTTGGGATTAACATATATAACTTCAAAGTTTTCATAACTTTTAGGATAATAATAAGTTCGTAAGAACTGGATAATTGGCTGTAAATTGTAAATACTAAGCATCAAATATTCCTTTAAACTATGCTTTCAGATAAATTCTCTCTTAATCCAATTATCTCAAAATTATGAGAACTTTTCAAACATCTGAAAATCCGGCTAAATTTATGTAATATTGACATCAATGAGATAATAAAAAGAATTTCACAACCCAAATTATTTTTATGATTTGTCGTGTATTTTCACATTTAACTCTCAAGTCTTAGTTTGCCACATTTTAGACAAATTGTTTTAAAAATTTGACGAATTACTTTCAAATTATAATTAATTTAACAGTCCATAGAAGGATTTTAAAAAAGTAACTTATGTGTTGCAAAATTTAAAAAAAAACATTTTTATCATATCAAGAAATGTACTCAATTGAAATATTTTTACTAGTTGATACACTACTCAACAAGAACTGTTTTGAAAACGTCAAGAAGTTTCCAGGTATCAGTTTCCAGGTATCAGGTTCCAGGTATCAGTTTCCAGGTATCAGGTTCCAGGTATCAGTTTCCTTCCAGGTATCAGGTTCCAGGTATCAGGTTCCAGGTATCAGGTTCAGAAAAGAGAAATAAATAATTAAGAGATACTGAGCGAAGAGATATATATTTACTGGGCCCGTTCAGACTTTTTTTTCGAGCGGTTCGTTTTTTCAAATGGCTCGTTTTTTTCACGCATTTCGTTTTTCCAAGCGGTTCTTTTTTTTGACCGGTTCTTTTTTTCAAGCGGTTGGTTTTTCCAAGAGGTTGGTTTTTCAAGCAGTTCGTTTTTTCAAGTGGTTCGTTTTTTCAAGCAGTTTGTTTTTTCAAGTGGTTCGTTTTTTTCAATCGGTTCGTTTTTTCAATCAGTTCGTTTTTTCAAGTGGTTTGTTTTTTCAAGCAGTTTGCATGAACTGAAAGTTTTGTTTGTTAACAAAATTTTCTGTTTTGTTTGTTCAAAAATGATATCCAATGTAACCCATGTGTCTAATAAACATAATATAAAGTGATCACACTGACCGCCCTACTGTTCAATGATCTATCTCTATCTCTACTCTGTCTGGTTCCTGCTGAGCAGATTGTAACCCTGACTACTTATTATTCTATCCAATCTCTCTAAGAAAATACAAGCAGTTTGGATGGTTTAATCCAGTTCAATCTACATAGAAAGAACATCTTTAGTTGTAGAATAATGATAAAAATAGGTTTAAAAAGAGCTACATACACTCATTAGTAATATGTTAAAAAACTTCCAGGTAAACCCTGTACTTTACAGTATAATCAGACTAAAAGAAATAATCACACGTGATTTGGTCAGTATAAAACATATGCCAAACCTGGACCCAAAACAAATACCTCAGAATTCTCAATACTCTCAAATAGAACAAGACCATCTGGTCGCGAAGCACATAATTTTGGTCTTCATTGGATGTAAAATAGTAAATTCAAAAGAGATGAAAGAATCTGGCACGGTGATTTTTTTATAGAATTTCTTTTTGAACTTTCTTGCTTTCTCCACATCTGCAACCGTTATGTTTTCGTAACTACCAATTTCTTACCATCAGTGTGAATAATTCTGGCGGCTTTTTCAAAGTTTGTCGGAAAGTTTACTAGGAAAGAAAATTGTCCTGATATAATAACAATCCATTTTCGCGGATTGCTGATAATTTCTTGATCGAATTTTATACCTTTACATAGTTACATTTCCTAAAGATCATACTGAATAAAGAGAAATAAGGACACTGTTATATCAAGAAAAATATTTTTTAAACGCGTAGGGAGTTAAAACTACTGGATAGTTACTTCAAAAATGATTAGTTTAGGTTGGTTTCTTCTAGATCATTTTCCAGAGCATCATTAAAACCGTTCTGCCAGATAGACCCATATTTGGTTACACAATTGAAGAATAATGGCAGCTAGCTTAGGTCGGATTTAATAAACAGCCAGAAATGGTTGAACCAATAATTGGAAAAAGTATAAGATATGAAGTAATTCATCATAATGCATACATTAAAAATTATTCATAATTTGTGAACCATCAAGTATCAAAACTATCTAATTCTTTATTACAGAAAGTATCATTTACTCTCAGAAAAATTAGAACCAATGGAAATTTTTTCTATTTTGATTCAAAATTTTTTTGATTGATTTTACACCCTTTAATGGAGAAAACATTTATATTTCATAATTTTCTGTGATTTAACATCACAGAATAAAACTACTTTGTCATCTTTAAAACAGGGCTAATCCGTCTCTTTTCAAAGTTACATTTATGAAAAGTTTACTTTTTGTAGGAAAGCCGAAAGCCCCGTTTATTACAATTACATGAGGTCGGGGTTGGATTTTTGTGCTTTTTTTCTTCCCTGCCAAAATAGGAGTTGCAATCTCCAGTACTCAGTTATCTGTTCAGTGTTCAGTGTTCAGTGGTCTTAATGTTCGTGACAAACGTGAAAATTTCACCTGCTTGACTTCACTCCCACCTCCTTTATCCCCCCCCCACCTCTAGTGTTGCAATTATAATGTTCTGAGATCATGATAACCTTGAAATGCTAAATCTTCTAGAGAGTTCAAAACATACATTTATATAAAAAACCAATGAAGGCTTAATTTGAAAAAAAAGATCCTATTTTATATAGATCCTGAGCTGGGAACTTTTAACTGGTGGATGTCGTGATTAACGCTTGATCCATTCTTTTTCTTATCTCGAGATTAAATATCGCTTGTTCTCCTCATGTTATTTATCTCCAGATTAATTAACCGATCGGGATTAAGGATATTCCATCCTAAAGTTTTCAGCTCAGAGCTGAAAACTTTAGAATGGTGGATATCGGGATTAAGGCTTAATCCACTCCTTTTCTTAATCTCGAGATTAAATATTGCTTGTTCTCCTCATGTTATTTATCTCCAGATTAATTAACCGATCGGGATTAAGGATATTTCATTCTAAAGTTTTCAGCTCTGGTTGTTTTTAAAAAGTTGCACTAATTTTAAGACTTTGTCTACTT